GGCTAGCTGGGAGGAGGGCCAAGTATGTGCATTTTCTACATCTGCATATGGTACGAGATAGCTATTCCCCCTGTGTTTTATTTACCCGGGCTACTTCAGTTGACACGACGTTTCTCACTATATGCCCTATCGTCCGTTTAAGTCCTGGTGAGGTCTCAGTGTCGGATATCAGTGCATCCCGAGAGATCCATCGAGTGGGAGGGCAGTTCCTGAAATCGCCGTGGTATCTGACCCTCACAGCTAAGGGAGTTGAAAACCTGTTCAACACCATCGATCCACAATTTCATGGGCGCCACCGGCGTCTTCTTTCTATGCCGATGTCAGATACCTCTCTCCGCGGTGTCGAACCTTTGGTCAATTCCAAGATCCAGTTTACCATTCAACGTATGAAAGGTGATATAGAGCGAACAGGTGTTGTCGATATTTACAAGTGGTGGATCCTCATGGCAAGCGACATTATCGGTGAGCTGAGCTTTGGGGAATCACTTGGCTTACTAGAGATTGGAATGGTAAGGTCAATTTACTAAAAAAAAAAAAAAAAAATCGGCGCGTCTGACAACGGTACAGGAAAGTCCATTCATCACTGATCTCAAAGCCGTCGGTACGATGGAAGCCTTGAATACAACATTCCCTTGTCTCGTAAACCTTGCGAGTATCTTTCCTCTCCCTTTCATTCCAAATGTGGTATCTGGCGGCCGCCGAATGGTGCAGTACGCGGATGAAGCCCTTGCACGCTACAAGAATCACCTTGTCACCAATGCAGAAAACCCAAAGGTGTCACTTTTTACCAGGATCTACAAGGCTACCGAGGACGGACTGACCGACGCCGAAGTTAGAGACGACGCTCTCAGCTATATCATCGCGGGAAGCGATACCACTGCTACTTCTCTGACATACCTTGTGTGGGCTGTTTGCCGTAGTCCCCGTATAAAGCAGGCGTTGCTGGAAGAGGTGAACTCTCTTCCTGATGGCTTCAATGACCAAGATACTCGCCGACTGTCCTTCTTAGGCCAAGTCATCAACGAGACCCTTCGTTTGTATGCTGCAGCGCCATCTGGACTACTACGGGTGGTGCCATCTGGAGGTAGAGTGCTTGCTGGGCACTTTGTCCCAGCAGGGGTCACTGTCAGCACACAGGCTTACTCTCTCCACCGGGATCCAACGATATTTCCAGACCCTGATAGGCAAGACCACGTCCCTTTACAAGCTGTATTGCTCTTGGTCAGACTCTGACTTTGCTTAGTTTTAACCCATCTCGCTGGGAAAACGCGACAAAGCTAATGAAAGATGCGTTTATGCCATTTGGCGGAGGTTCTCGCAGTAAGTTCAGCTGAGCGGCCTGAGGCGCATCTTCCATTCTTCTTTACATGGTCTCACTAATCGACGCACTAGTCTGCATCGGGCTACACCTGGCCCTACGCGAGATCCGTCTAGCAACTTGTTATTTCTTCCGCACATTCCCTCATGCAGAAGTATTCGACGAGAAGACCACTGATGCGGATATGGAGCAAGTAATATACTTTTTGATGGCACCGAAAGGAAAGCGGTGCTTCATCAAATCTCCGGGATCAGTCTAAAATTGCGGGTTGTTCAGGACCAAAGCGTGTCGAGTTTGGAGGCAAACATGTTTGGCCGGTCGCGCCCACTTGGCTCTACAAGCTTAAACGCCCCTTGCTGACCTTGAAGCTCTTCTTCCAACATCATCGGAGTCAACAAAATGGGTATTCCGGCTTTTTTCATGCGTACAACGGTATCGGTCATTTAATAAATGAATAAGAGTCTAGATTCTGTAAATATTTGCGATCTCTCTATGATCAATTTCCATCGGGTCCTTATAGATATGGTCATTACCTTGCTGCCATGCTGATGAGCTCTAGATAGCCGAATAACGACGCTGGCTGAATCAGTCTTTCTATTCAGCCTGCAATTTTGACTAACTAGGTATAGTAATTAAAATGTAGGGACGATACATAACTGATTAACTATAGTTCCTCGCAGAAAGTCTGCAACTCCGTTGCGGAGCAATTACCCACAGTTTGACTGACCCCTTGTAGTAAAATGTCGGGTATATATATCCGAACCAATCCAAGGAAGAGGCATTGAATTCGGCTAATGTATAGGAAAACAGCTACTTTCTCGACTTGAATTAAAATTGAACCGATTTTTCCTCTGATATCTGGTATACCATCTATTTACTTTGCTCAGTGCTCGCTTGTGAAATAAGTTAGTTGACTATGGCCGACTAATGCTAAGTTCGGCATTGAAAGCCATCAGGCTTGAAAAATGCAGAATCGGACTGTTGCAATACGAGACACGTTTCAAGCCAAGTTTGTGGAAGTAAGGAGGACATGGCCAGCAGCGCCAGCAAGGAGCGGGCAGAACATTCCTTACGCTGCACCTTGCTTCCTTCTACTGGCCAACTAACGACTGATTTCAGAGCACACGAACTATTGCAACTGTACAAGCAAGGACTACACTGCATAGCGCCATTCACCCACGTACCCAGCCCATTCAATGCTCACAGCATCGAAACTATTCTCACACCGTTAGGAGCGAAGAGATAAAGCTTAGCAAACCAACACCTGTCTGTCCTGCCTCCGCATCGTTGCCCTTCAAGCGAGCGCAACCGTGGGCGATGTCCCAGGAACCATCCGGTCCATCCCTCGGGTTAACAACATGGTCAACGTCGAAACATCCAAATATTGCAAACGTCATCCTGGAGAATTCGTCCACCCTGGTCTCTGGCATACCCAAGAAGACCTCGAACGCATCCGGAACAACTTGCTTGCCAAACGGAGCCATGGGCATCTGCATATGAAAAGTTCAGCGAGGACACATGCTCCCGGGCAAATTATGACCGCCCTGCGGTGCTGCGGTGCCAATTCCAGCCGAAGTTAATGACTTAGGTAGACAACCCGGAATCGCGCACATGTATCTTGACCTTAGATTTTGTTATAAGCTTTTGTCAAATGCAAATCAACTTAATTTCACACACGCTAGCGAAGTCATATTACCTACTACTCCTCCAGATTCTCTCGCCTTTTTATATTAAAGAAGGCCTAGGAACGTCCAAGCGTTGTCTGTGCGCAACTATATTACAGGTCTGACAACGACCAACCGAATAGAAACATAATGGGGAAGAACCTGCCAGAAGACGTGGAAGCCTACCTTCAGGAAATAGTCGAGCGTCTAACTGATCACTTCAAAGATTAGCTCGTTGGGGTGTATCTGTTTAGTTCAGCAAGTTATGGCGCCTCAAATATGGCTTTAGTGACCTAGATGTGTAAGCTATAGTAAGGGCTCCTCTTAATACTGTTGACAAGCAGGCAGTTATATACTCTATCACTGCATCTAGCCTACGTCTTAGTTTTAAAATTAAAGCCTAGGCTTTGTGAGAATTGACTGTCCGGTCCCAATGCGGCTTGAATACGGCTGAGCGGACGGGAATTCCCGTTCTCCACACCCTATGATTGTATGTGCTAGAAACAACAAAAGACAGAATTATATACGGAGTAGAGCAAATGTAGGGCTCCACAAAATCAGGTGACATGCTGTTCCTATTCCAGGAAGATGCCCAGGGCGGTGGCAGAATAATGTAGGGAGCTGTTCGGCATCAACTCCCACTCTCCAAGAGTCTTCAATCATCAGCCTTATTTCAAGTGTTCTTGTAAGCAGGCTTTCTGCATCTCCTACAACTGCCAGTGAGCTCGTATCCCCCGGTATAGTACCTCTGCGCAGTATGGGGCTCTTATCCAACTTCCAGAACCATGATTCTTCGTACTTGCTTCTCCAGAGTGTCACCGCTCTGCTCGTAACTGCGAGTGCCTACGGGCTGTATCGGGGCTATCAGGTGCGGAGTATGTTTCAATCGCTCAAGAAGCAGGGCATTGTAAGTATATTCATTCTTAGGAACTACAGCGTCCCACACCAAACGCAGTAATCTACTCGAAGCATTTACTAAACATCTACAGCCCCTCATGCCTCACTCCATGATCTTCGGCCATCTCGAAGTAATCGGGAAGCTCATGTCTCGTATCCCATCCGATGCGCACGGCGATTACATGATGGTCCTAATCCAGGAAAACTGGAAGGAGCTCTTTCCCGGTTGCTCCAAATGCCCCCCTGTGTTGTACATTGATCTTTGGCCCTTCGCGCCGCCGATGTTAATCTCTATCAATCCCGACACATCGGCTCAGTGCACGCAGGACTATTCCTTACCCAAGGCATACCAGCAAAAGCGCACGCTGTACCCGTTGACCCGCAACCGCGACGTCTCCTCGATGGAAGGGGCAGAGTGGAAGGTCTGGCGCAAGAGACTCAACCCTGGCTTTTCCATCCAGAATATTACCAGCCGGATCTCCGATATCCTGGAAGAGGTTGAGGTGTTTGTTGGTGTACTGGAAGCACGTGCGGGTAATGATGGTGCCTGGGGTGAAGTCTTTCCCCTCGAGAATGCCACCACTAATCTGGCTATGGATGTCATTCTGCGGTTCTTCTTGTGAGTATGGCCGTCTGGAAAACAGCCTGAAATTGTCCCAGACACCAGCTTATCTGGTACAGGAATAAACGCTTCCACCAACAGACTGGCCCGAGATCGCCAATTACCGTCGCCCTCCTCGACACAATATCAAGAATGTATTTCTACGTCAACATCTTCAATTTCTTGTCCTACATCAGCCCTTGGCGACACTTCAAGCTGTGGCTCAACTACCGGACGCTGTTCAACTCCCTCAGCCCGTTCCTGACAGAACGCATAAACGAAATCCAGAAGAACAGCCAGGTCACCAACAAGACCTTGATCGATCTCCTCGTTAAAGCCATGGACGAGGAGAAAGGCACAAACGGAGCAGCGGGCGACCTGTCCACCAACACGGATTTCCTCGAGACCGCCATTGGACAAATCACCACCTTCCTCTTCGCCGGCCACGACACCACCGCATCAACCATCTGCTGGCTATTCCGCCTTCTCGAGCAACACCCGGACATCCTCTCAAAGCTCCGCGCTGAGCACGACGCCATCCTGGGCCCAGACCCAAGCCAGGCTGCCGCTGCCCTGCGCGCAAACCCGCAGCTTCTCAATGCCCTCACATACACGAACGCCGTGTTGAAGGAGTCCACAAGAGTGCACACCAATGTCGGCACCATGCGCCGCGGTGAGCCGGGCTTCTTCCTCACAGGCCCGCCTGGTTCCGGCCCCGAGTGCGAGGGCAAGCAGATGCCGACGGATGGGTTCGTAGTCTGGGACGGGAACTTTGCGATCCACCGGAGTCCGGACGTGTGGCCGCGGCCGAACAAGTTCATTCCCGAACGGTTTCTAGTGACGGACGAAAATGACCCGCTACATCCGCCGAAGAACGCGTGGCGGTTTTTTGAGCTCGGACCGAGAGGGTGTATTGGGCAGCACTTGGCTATGGTGGAGATCAAGCTTGTCATGGCTCTGGTAGTGAGGCGCTTTGATATTGAGTGTGCGTGGGACGAGTGGGATTCTAAAAGGTGAGTTGGATGCATTTTTGGTGGTTTAAAGAGCGGCTGCTGATTCTTTGTAGGAACTTCAAGGGCCCGCAGAATATGGTCTGGGGGGATCGTTGTTATCAGGTTGGAGGAGACTCGCCGCCTCATGTGAAGGATGGCATGCCTGTTCATGTAAGGGTTCGGGGGTGAACAGGAGACTATTAGGAACAGTGGATAGCATTGATAAACTAATATGATGGTGGTTTCTACTCGACCTATCCGCGACCGGTCCTACTCATCCTCCCTGGTGTAGGCGCAGTCACTGCAGTATCCCGTTGCACCTACGCCTTTGCCTGAGACGAGCCTATCCCGGCCCACCCCATCTGGAGCCACGTCAATAAGCGACTGGATATTCCTGTATGGGCACTCATCTTCACTACCATGGTAAATGCCCTCCTCGCCTGTATCTATTTTCGCTCGCCGGCTGCCTTCAACTCGTTTACGGGAATGTGTACCATCCGCCTTTCCACTTCGTACGGCCTTCCAGAGTTTGTGAGCGCATTCCGAGCTCGTCGCGCCGTGGCACACTCCTTTCTCCCTGGGGGGATTTGGTTTGCTCATCAGTATGATCTGCATTGTATAAATAGCCTTGTCGATCGACGCGTTTCCCATGCCGGTGGCATTGCCGGTGAACGGGTCGTCCATGAACTATGCCAGCGTAGTGTTCGCGGGCTTTGCAAGCATCGGCGTGATATTGTACGTCTGCTATGGTCGGAAGCACTTCCACGGACCGCCCATCCTGAAGAAAGATATATGATCGACTCGAGGCCTACATCCTGGGATTGCCTCAAGTACTTGAAGTACACTATCAAACTGTCACTTCAGAATTAGGTGGCTTGAGGGTCGTCATTTGTGCTGAAGTGCCGGACGGCCTGAATACGCTACCTCGGCGCCGGTAGGTATCTGCAAGAGTGCGCTATAGGCAATGCTCCAGTTATTCTAATTCCAGCACGCGGGGATCAGTGCTGGTGTGGTATCAAACACGTCTTTATGAACTCGGCGACGCCGTCATGAGACGGAGGTGAATGGTCCTGGTGGTCGTAAGAGACCTTCCTGTCGCGGTTCAAGGTTCCCATGCAATCTGGAGCATATCTAAAAACTTCATCTCCTAGGTCCGACCATGTCTCTACTAGCGTGCAACCATAATAGCCGATAGCTTTCTTCTATCTGCAATAATGTTTCTGAGATATTTAGGATATTGTAAGCTGCGACATCTTTTCTAAGTAGATAGCTCCTACCACCTATGTGTAAGGCTCTTCTGGTGACTTCACCTCCCTTCCCCATTCAAATTTATGATTACTATGGTATTCTCTAATCCAGAATAGATGCGTGTGCCCGCAGAGTGCGGAGGTTTAAGCTCTCGTGACTGGGGAAGAAGAGGAAACCCATCCCGCTGCCATCCGCTGATGTCATTTGAGAAGTCTATTTCTTTCTCCCTTATTATCATCGCAGCAACCATCGCCTCCCCCCAACTCTCCATAAAATACCAATTAGTTATTGACCGACAACTACACCAGCATCAGATGTTGCGTTGGAAGTCACTTTTATCTCCCTTACGAGAGGCATGATAATTTTCTGATCCCGGCATGGCATGCTCGGGAAGCTAATGTCTGAGTAGCAGCGCGGTGGGATATTTAGGAGACACGTGCGCTACTTGAGTCTCCTAGAACACCACTCACACCACCTTCTTAACAGTGTACGAAAGGCCGTCTAAGCGGTATTACGAAAATATTGAGACTTACGTGGATCAGTATGACATTCCTGTTCCTAAGGGGTCTCTAGTCGGGAGCCCCGCGGCAGCGTGGGATGTTGTATACAATATAGGTTTGTTTTAAGATTGATGGAATCCCTGTACAGCCCTTGAATGCTCAAGCCGTATCAGGTGCGCCGTCAGTTCTGAAAGCCCAAATCCTCGCCGGCGGGCGCGGAAAGGGAAAGTTCGACAGCGATGGGAAAGGGGGCGTTCGCATCATCAACTCGTGGGTCCTTGCGACAACAACAAGAATTTACCAGCTCTGACAAAGCGTTCCAGGCCGGACGAGGCATTTGAAACTGCCTCCAAGATGCTTGGTCATCGCCTCGTGACGAATCAGACTCCCCCCAGCGGCCTTCCGGTTGAGCAGCTATACATCTACAGAGCCGTTGATATTGCGAAGGAATACTACCTGGCCGTCACTTTCGATCGTGAAAAGGCCACGCCGGTGCTCTTGATGTCTGATGAAGGAGGGGTCAACGTCGAGTCAAACGTAAATCAACTCCAGCGGTTCCGGTTCCATTTCTCTACTGGCATCACCCATGAGATCATAGCCTACATCGAGGCCCAGTTTGGATTTTCCGATGCCGAAATAGGGGCGATCTCGCACATCCTGCATCAACTAGTACGGCTGTTTCGGGAAAAAGATGCCATTCTCCTTGAGCTGAATCCTCTTGCGCGCACGACAGAGGGATCGTTTATTTGTCTGGATGCAAAAATGAACTTTGACGATTCGGCCAGATTTCGACAACACGACTTGTTTTGCCTCGAAGAACATCCCCCGGAGGAGAAGGATGAATATGAAGCTTCGCAGCTGGGTCTTTCCTATGTCCGTCTCGATGGCAATATTGGTGTTATTGTTAATGGGGCTGGTTTGGCCATGGCGACAAATGACTTGGTGACTTTGTACGGCGGCAAATGTGCAAACTTCTTGGACATTGGTGGGGGTGCAACAAGGGAGACATTGTCAAAGGCATTTTCGATTCTGCAGGGCGATGCACGCATCAAGGCCCTCCTCGTAAACATATACGGCGGTGAGTACCTGTGCACGTGTAATTCTCATAGCTAATAAGGCTTGTTACCAGGAATCGTTCGCTGTGATATGGTGGCCGAGTCGATTCTTGCTGCTTATGCGGCCACGGGGGGGTTCAGGTTTCCGGTCGTGGTCCGCCTTCAAGGGACAAACTGCGAAGAGGGCTCTCATTTGGGAAGTACATACTTTCCATTTTCTACTGCCAATCGCTAATACGACTGCTAGATTCAAACGTCGGGGTTCGAGAACGTACTGCTGGAGACCGATTTCGAAGCTGCTGCCCAAAAAGTTGTGAAGATTACAGGGAATTGAAGATAAGTATTGGGGAATCCGTCAGCGCCTTACTATAATGTTACCCAAGCAGATGAAGATCTTTACACTCAATAATATAATCTTCTCCCAGAATCTCAGGCGACTACAATAAGACAGCCTGCTTCAACTTAGGGCTTGAGAATATTCGAGGCCAGACGCAAAGGCTGAAGTGCGAAAGGGGAGAGTCTTTCCTCGTGCAACATCTGCAGTAGTGGGTGTAACGAAAGTAATGACTAAAGTTAAGTCCTAGACGTTGTGAACAACGGCGTAACTGGAGCTGA